TTGGAGGATCCTCCCAGGAGGGGAGATGCATGTCGAAAGTAGACTATGGACTGAACATGTTTGCCACTCAATGCCTCTTTTGCAGACCACAACACCCAAAAGGAGAGAGAGAACACAGGGGATTGCCCTGCCACAGAGACAAGGGGGGATGGGGGGATGGGGGTGGGAGGGATATTATCCATGGTGGTAGAAAATGGGCACTGGTGGAGGGATGGGTATCTGATCATTGTATAATTGAAACCAAAGCACAAAAAATTGTAAATCTACAACTTTAAAAAAAATAAAATAAAATAAAGGGAAAAAAAAAAGATTTTACTCTGGTCATGATTTTTTTCTCTCATTTGAGTGAAACATGATATTCCAAGCATAGCTCTTTCTATTCTTCTTTGGGAGACCTGAATAGCGTTCTCATCTTGTTTGCGTAGGGCCCAGGTCTCTGAGGCATATGTTAATGCAGGAAGAACAGTGGAATCAAAGAGATGTGCCCAGAGCCGGAGGTTCTTCGTCCTCTTAGCTATTTCTTCGACGTTCTTGAAGGTGTTCCAAGCTGCTCTCTTCCTCCTGCGCAGCTTGGGTGCCAGGTCATTTGTCATGTTGACTTCTCGACTTAGGTACACATAGCTGTTGCATTCGGAGATGGTCGTTCCATTGAGAGCGAATGGGGCGTCAGGAACGAGGCTGTTTCTCATAAACATTGTCTTCGTAAGATTCAGCTGTAGTCCTACCTTTCCACACTCATGGTCAAAGTCGGCCAGCATTTGTGCCGCTTGGCTGATGTTTGGTGTTATTAAAACAATGTCATCAGCAAAGCGGAGGTGGTGTAATTGCCGACCATCTATCTTCACTCCCATTCCTTCCCATTCCAGTCGTCGCATGATGTTCTAGAGGGTGGCACTGAAGAGTTTCGGTGAAATGGTATCACCCTGTCGCACCCCTCTCTTGACATCAACGATCACTTCTTTGTAGAATGGTGAGATCCTGGTAGTGAATCCGCAATACAGCTCACGGAGGATCCTGATGTATTGGGCGTGAATGCCCTGATTGGCTAGGGCTTCAATGACCGCTTCTGTCTCAACAGAATCAAAGGCCTTCTTTAAATCAATGAACGTTAAACAGAGTGGCATCTTGAACTCCCGAGAAACCTCAATGAGCTTGGTTATCGTGTGGATATGGTCGATGGTGCTGAATCCTTTGCGGAACCTGGCTTGTTCACATGGTTGTCCTTCATCTAGTGTTCTGCCAATCCTATTTAGGATGACTCGAGTGAACAACTTGTAGATGACAGACAATAGGCAGATGGGGCGATAGTTGCCAATGTCATGGATGTCTCCCTTCTTGAACAGTAGTACGGTCCTGCTGGTTTTCCGTTGGTACGGAACCTTGCATTCAGACATGTAGAGTGTGAAGAGCCGAGCCAGTGTATTGATGAGTACTGACGGCAGGTTCTTCAGGTGTTCAGGTCTGACCTTGTCTGGGCCGGGTGCTGTTTGTTTCTTTACCAACGAAATGGCGTGTCGGATTTCGGAAGGGAGAACGTTGGGAACGACATATCCATCCTGTGGAATTTGGTATGTCGGCAAGTGGACATGGCTATCGAAGAGATTTGAGTAGAAGTCATGGATAATCTTCTCCATTGCCGTTCTGGAGGATGTGATGGATCCATCAGGACGTTGGAGGGCAGTCATCTTGGTCTTGTAGTTGGCGAAGGACAGGTGGGCGTTACGAATACTTTTCCCGGCTTCTGCCGCATCTACCAGTACTTCTGCTCTTCTCTCTTTGAGGTCTTCCTTGATCGCATCTCTGCACTGCTTTGTGAGCTCGGACGTTAGCTTGCGGTTGCCTGAGGCATGCGCCAAACCACGCTGGTGAATTAGCTCAAGAGTTTTCGAAGATAGGCGATTTTGTCGGCCTCTCCTTTCTCATCCTTCTCAATGCTGCCATGTCGGTGAAGCCTTCAGGGTCAGGTGAATGAGACCAGTTGTAGTTACTGGTTTTGGCATATCGAATACACAACGGATAGCTTGCCAGGCTCTTCTGTGCGGGCGGAATACTCTCGGTAGCTTGCCAGTCTTTCCGAGAGGGATAGAGGCTTTGGGGGCGACCTCTAATCACCCTTGTAGGTGTTACCATATTTGAACCCTATCAAATACGGTACGAGAATTCCAGAAGATGGGTATTTAGTGTCTTATGATGTGTCGTGCGGCCGCTTTGTGGCCGCGCGGGTCCAGAATTCTGACATCCGTCAACGATCAAGAATCAGGGACGCTGTCTCATTTGCCAAGGTGTCGAAATCAGATGGGCTGGTCACGTAATGAGATTTAAAGACGACCGCTGGACTAGAGCTGTTACCGACTGGATTCCACGGGATGTCAAAAGACTGCGTGGCCGCCCACCTACCAGATGGTCAGACTTCTTCGTCAAGATCGTGAACAATTGGTTTGAGGCTCTTCATGTTCCCGGAGCGAACAGATGCCATTGGGCTACACTAGCACGCGACAGGGACAAATGGAGACGTTACTGGCGCCCGCTCGAGCAAATCGACCACCAATGGGAAGTTAAGTGATTAAGTGATTAAGTGATGATTTTTTAATCAAAATCATTCTTACTTAGGATAGAGAAAACAGAAAATCAGATGAGTACATTCAGTAGCAGCTATTTTCTGCAGTCTACGTCTGTCACAGGCTCTCAGAAGCTTACAATCTACTGTTTATAGACCTGGTGAAAAAGCAGAGAAGTTATATTAAATGATACGTGACTAGGGGCTGGAGCGATAGTACAGCAAGTAGGATATTTTCCTTGCATGCGGCCGACCCAGGTTTGATTCCCAGCATCTCATATGGTCCCCCAAGCACCACCAGGAGTAATTCCTGAGTGCAAAGCCAAGCTCTTTTGTTTAACCCCTGAGCATTGCTGGATGTGAACCAAAAAGAAGAAAAAAAAAAGATAAGTGACTATAAATGGAATATATACATTCCTAGTACATTAACTGTATAATTTCTAATATATTAATGGTATAATTTGTAACACATTTGTAAATTAGTGGAATTTTCAATTAATTGTGATTGTTTTACAATCACACTTTAAAATCCATAATGACTGAAAATTAGCCTTGATGTTTAAAGTAAGCTCATATTTATAATTTCATCAAGTACAGGCTAAACGTCAGAATGCGTGGTGGGGAGGCCCTGTGGCAGGTCTGGGTGAGTAACTCAGCAAGTGCTGACCAGGGACACTCACGGGCAGTGTGATGCCAGATCAACCCGTAGGGAATCTGACTGTCCCGATTAACAGAGTCATCAGGAATTCCCGGGCAGCAGGAATCCAACTATAGTTTCCGCAATGTGGGCAGCCGCTTTAACCAACAGCTTGAGCAGACACTTCAGAAATCGAAAGCTACCAAATCAGTGGCCATGTAAGAGGGAACATTTCCTGTTTTCCCAGGGAAACGCCCAGTAATGGCCTGTTACTAGAGGGCCATGCTGATTGGTCTGTCAGCAGGGGATGTCTCCACAGCTGGCAACACCGCCCACTGCACACACTGGAAGTGGTGTGTGTGTGTGTGTGTGTGTGTGTGTGTGTGTGTGTGGTGTATGTGTGTGTGGTGCTGTGTGTGTGGTGTATGACAATGTGTGTGGTGCTGTGTGTGTGGTGTATGTGTCGTATGTGTGTGGTATGTGTGTGCTTTGTGTGTGCTTTGTGTGTGCTTTGTGTGTGTATGTTGTGTATGGTGGTTTGTATATGTGTGGTGTGTGTGTGTATGTGGTGTGTGTGTGGTTTGTATATGTGTGTGGTGTGTGTGGTGGTGTATGTGTGGTGTGAATGTGGTGGTTTGTGTGTTGTGTGTGTGGTGTATATGTGTGTTTATATGTTTGTGGTGGTGTGTGTGTGGTGTGTGTGTGTGGTTTGTGTGTGTGGTGTGTGTGGTGGTGTATGTGTGGTGTGAATGTGGTGGTTTGTGTGTTGTGTGTGTGGTGTATATGTGTGTGTTTATATGTATGTGGTGGTGTGTGTGTGGTGTGTGTGTGGTATATGCGTGTGGGGTGTGTGTGTGGTGGTGTGTGTGTGTGTGTGTGTGGTGTGTGTGTATGGGGAGGGTAACTAGCGGCCTCTGGTGCGATTAGGGAGCTCTTTTGTTTATTCACCTAAAAAGACTTCCAGGGGACACTGAGTGATTTTTTTTTCTGGAAAGAGGTGTCAGGCCAGGTAAGGCTGGCAAACTCTGATCTAAACAAATGGGGGAAGAGGGTCTTTAGAGATGTTAACTTACCTGGTTAAATTCTCACAGACTCTCCCTAAGATCCTACCACTGCCAAAACTTGGTCTGGAACCTGAAAATCAGAAACTCTCAGAATCTGTCCAGAGAAGAGTGGGGGCCAGGGACTCCCCCTCAGACTGAAACCAAACCTCCTTCCTCCCACTCTCTTCCCAAAGGTAGGTCAGAAACTTCTGGGACAAATGCCTTCTGGAAGGGATTCAAGCTCTGGAGTTGAACCAGATATTGCTTGGTTCATATGTGTATATGCACACACAAAACTAGGGAAAATGTATCCACATTCATGAACATAAGGAGGTCTGTCCATATACAAGGATGCAATATACATAAATAGTGAGGGCTCATTCATAAATATAAACACATGTGTAGTGAGAGTTTATTCATATATGCATCTCTATTTATACATACAATGGTTCATTCATATATATGCACATATGAATATATATACATATATATACACATATATACTATATGTGTATATCTTAAACTCACTTCAGGCATTTCCTAAAATCTTTGTTTCTTAGAGGTCCATGGTCAAAGGAAGATACCCAGATGTCACTCCTAAAATTAGTTGAAGAGATGAATTCTCTGTGAGATGTAACACAAAGCAAGCAAAAATGTACTCATCTGTACATTCATGAATTCATCTTTTATACCTCCCACCAAATTCTGAAGTAGTTCCAAAGAGATTTAAGAGAGAAGCCTTTTTTATTTTTTTGAGGAGATGGGGTAGGCCAGGACCAATGATCACCAGCTGCCCTACTGCCAAAAATAATGTTTCCAAAATCTCTTATGTCAATCCTGCAAGTAGAGCAAGCAAACTCTCCTATGTGTGCCACTCACAGCAGAAGCCTTCTTCAGAGAAGCTGTTCAACAATACCAATTCGAGCTATATTCATAGGCACCGGATGGTGCATATTCTTGAAGCACATCGAGGAACATACGAGAAGCCTTTGGTCTCCCTCCTCCCTGCCAAGTGCTTGAGATTAAATGTACGTGAAGCACTAACACAGGCTACTCTGAGGAAACCAGTGGTCAGGTTGTGAAATATTCTTCCCTTGAGTGCATGATAACTGTGCAGGTGTGTGTCAGAGAGGATCACCTGTATTTGTCCTTCTGAAGACAGTAGAGGGGAGAGGGCTTTGCCCCTGAGGCCTCCACGGTAGGGGAACTGCTTCCCTCAGTGTGTTTCACAGATGGGGGCATCAACAGAATCATAAACTTTAAGCTCCTTTGATCGTGACTAGAGACCTCAACACCCATCCCTCCCAAGAAAAGGGTTTTGTTAAATTCAGATTAAATTAACAAAGGAGCCATAATTCTTTTTAACACTTTCTTTACTAAGTTTAGAATGCCACTTTATCATGCATAATTTCTGTCAGATATACTGCTGACAGGACTTTTCAGCCTTGGGGGAAGTTTTGCCTAGAGAGGGTAATGCCGGACAAAACCACCTGACTAGAACATCACGTCTGCAAAGTCCTCTGAGAGAGCTTAATAGAGTGACACCAGTACTGACTTTCACCTCACTCTAGTCACGCTTAAGTTAGGGTACTGGGCATATGGTTTGTGGAAATATTTGATGTATTTTCATAAGATATACAAATTTGGGGAGAATGACCATTTTAATTGGGCTGGCTGACTGAGAGGGAGAGGGAGGTGTGACCATCTGTTTAACTTCATCTTGATTTTATTTAGCACCTACAAAAATTGAGATTTGAGCTACTTCTAAACCAAGGAAATATGAAGAACCTGTCTAGGAATGCTTCTCATGTCCTTCCTCAAAGGCACTCTCAGACACACATGTACACAGATACATGTGCACACATGTGCGTGTTTATAGACAGACATGAACACACGGGCAAACACGAGCCATTTCCTCTATGAAATGGAAAGCCAATGATTACATGTTCATTTGACAATATGGGTCTTTATGATTCTAAGAACCATGTAATGCAGATCTTGATGTTTGCTATCCTTAATGTAGGAAGAATAGAGGCTTCTTAACTGAAAGGCAGCATATAATTTGCCAATTTATAAGCTGTTATTGTTACAGCCATAAATGGTTCTATAGGCTTCACTAAGACATGAAAATAAAGGATTAAATCCATATTTTAGTTGCTTGGAACTTACACAATTAAATAAATTAAAACAATTGCTCCTTTTCTGGAGATTTTAAAATGACATTGAACTTAAGTCTTTTCTTCATCTACGTAGATTAATCCTAAAGTTACAGTTTCATAGTTCCTTGCCATTGGTCTCGCCGTTCTGGAGATACACTATTTGGCAGGCGTTCTGATGCTGGAGTTTCTGCTTTCTTGACTACATAGACACTGGTGATCAGAAGTTTCTGTTTCTCGCTCTGGTTTGGGTTTTGGTTCTATTTTCCCTCCTCCCACCCCCACCGTCCCTTCCACCAATATCACCGGACATTTAATCATCATTCATCTCAAAGGCTCTCTGAGATGTACTGAGTTCTGGTCTAATAGTTCCTTTTTCGTTGGTTTTATTTAACTCTGATACTCATTTTGAGTTTGGTTTGAAAACTCAGTTTGTTTTTAGTCTTTGTGTTTATTTAAAACGTTCTAATTGAAGACCGCCCCTCACATCTCAGTATATAATACTTGATTTAGTACCCATCTTCAAGTCTGTGCTGAGAATTTCTTCTCTAACTTTGGGGTTGCTTTGGTGCATGATTTCAGCTTTTTTTTTTTGAAAGAAGTTTTTTAAAACTTCATTTGTTAGTTGATTGTATTTTTAGCAAACTTAGAATGTTCAGCTATTTTTCTGTATACATAGTCATGATATGCAGAATAGCCTACTACAAGATATTTTGGTCAAATATTCCATAAGGGCTGAAGAAGTATATAAACACACATGCATGTGCATGTATACTATGTAAACAGGCAAAGAGCACACACACATGTTTGTTTACACACAGATGCGCCTTATACTGTGTATAAGCAAAGGGAGTGTCTTTACTCTGCTTTTCTGACTTTCATACTTTGTGTAGCTGAGTTCAAAATTCCCCCACAAATGTGTTCAACTCTGAATAAAATGTTTCTTTTTGTATTTTAGACAACTTCATTAGTGTTATTGCATCTTCTTTTCAACATACATTTTGGTCACTTTGTGGTTCGGTTTTGTTTTCTTTTTGTAGTTCTGGGGATCAAACCCTGGGCCTCACCTGTACAAGACAAAAGCTCTACTGCTGAGTCATTTCCCTGATGCTTTTTTCGACTTTCCATTGTTTAGAATTTTATTTTATTTCATCTTATTTCCCTTTTAAATGACTTCTTTCCCATCTGTTTTCTATCTTCCTTGTGTATATTTGAATCTTGTAATTTTCAATTTTTCTGAATATCATAGGCAAATTATAGATTACAAATTGTTAGCTCTTTTTCCATTAAATTCATAACTCCATTTTAATTAAGTCTGACATAAACGCATGTATTATAATCATGATTATATTAAAATATATCATTTCACTACATTTTTTTTTCTTCTTAAAATTAGTTTTTGGTTTGGGGCTCATGCCCACGCCTGGCAGTGCTCAGGGCTTCCTCCCAGCCCTGTGCTCAGGGATCTCTGCCGGCAGCGATCAGGGACCCAGCCCCGCCAGAAGTACCGTGGGCTGTGTACCTACAGCCATGGCACTGCTTCACTCCTCATTTCTCCCTGCTGTACACAGGACATTTTCCTAAGTCTCTTTAAAATTTCTTTGACTTCAATTGTTTTGTGGTTAATACCACCTAATTTCATAGTTTCTCCATAAGCTAGAGGAAAAAAAAATCTCTTAGGACACTAAAATCTTTTAGTGGCATGAAAGTTTACGTTTTTCCAAATATGTCCTGAATGTCATCATCCCACTGATGGTCATCTCTTTCGAATGTTCTCTGCTTAGGTTTAAGGCGAGAACCTGTCTGCATCTGGCTGTGGGGGTGAGGGCGGGAGTCCACGCTCCAGAGATTCACTCCTGGTTTGTGGCTGGATTAACCAAAGGCGGATAGCACTGCCCAACTGTGCATCTCCCTGGGCGAGCAGGCCCATCCTGTGTTTTCTGTAAAGAACTAGGTCGGCTTCCAGTGCTTTCTCCGTGTGTCCCTTCTCAATCCGACATCTTAGAGCGAGCTCAGCCTCAGAGGTTGGGGGACTCGCAGATGCCCCCACACCGGGTCCAGGTAGCCGGCTGGGGCTGTGGGCCTGCACAGCTGCTTGGATCTGCCTGGCCTGATTAGGAGACACAGGGAAAAAAACAACCTCTTCTCTGCCACAGATAGAAGGCAGCGTGTCAGAGTCAGCATGGATCCTAACGCGCAGTTGCCTATGTTCAAAGTCTGATTTTACCTCTGCTTTCCCTTTATAAAATGACTTGACCTGTTTCTCTCCAAGTTCTTTGAGAAAAAAAAAAGCAATAATGCATTCAAACATCAAGGGTTGCTATAAAAAACTGAGGAAGCAATAGAAGGCGCCTGCAGGAAGGTTCTGGAACACAGGGCTTTGGGGCTAGAGGAGAAGTACTGGCTAGCAGGCAGCTCTGGGTTGACCCCCACTCCTCCTCATTCTCTGGGCACCCTGGATGTGGCCCTGCAGTTTCCAAGCATTGCTGGGGTGACCCTGGGCATCTGTGGCAGTGCCAGCCTGCGCCCTGCCTCCACCCCAACTGAAGCCTGCTGGGCTGAGAATCCCTGAAAGTGAGAAGAGATTTGGTTATGGACTGAACCAAGAGCCTCAGTCCCTGCCCTGACTCACTCTGAGAGCCCGGAGACTTCCAGAACCTCAGGTGGGGGTCCCCTGCCTTTGGTCATGCCGTCATGGAGCTTCTCCAAGCAGGTGCCATCCAGGAAAGAGTCGGTGAAGGAGAGGAAGAGCTGGGCACCCTGGCGGGAGTTGGCAGCCGTGTCCATTTCACAGCGACCAGGGTTCTGCCATCACGCCTGAGCCCTGTCAGAAGCCAGACACATGGCACACTCAGCATTTACCCTCCTGGTCCCTGCCAAAGTGCTTGGTGCTGTCTCTCTGCTCCTTTGGGAGCCTGCCTGACCTGGCAGTTTGTCCATATGTGGGACTCCTTCTGGCACCATGCCAACCAAGAAAGAGCCCTTACATGTCTGCCACACGACAGCAGAAAGCGGAGCTGCTCTCTGCTCTCCGGCGAGGGCTGAGGTGTGTGGCTGAACCCAGGGATAGTTAGGGTTCTGAGAAGCTGGAAGGAGCCTTGGGCACACGGGGTCGGTGGGGAGCACGGGGAGAGCTGCCTTTGTGCAGGCGGGGGATGGACAGGCCAGATGAGAAAGGCAGAAGCCGCAAGAACTGGGCAGGAAACCATGTGCGGCCAGGCCGAGAGAGATAGAGCAGAGCTGGACTGGAGACCACCCCTCAGGCACGGGGTACCCCTGACCCTGGCCAGCAGGGCTGGGTTCTCCCAGGCCCCCTCCACACCCGCCATGTGCTGAGCTCTGCCCTGTGGACAGCTGGAAAGCTCTGGCCATCAGAGACAGTGGGCGCACAGGTGAGCTCATGGCCAGGAACCTATTAAAGCTCCATCCCCCCCAGGCCAGTTAGCAGCCACGACCCACGTGGCCCAGAGCGTGCGCCTGCCATATGCGAAATTGTTCTCAGATTTATAAGTCCCATCTACGACGTTTTCAATGCCGGATTGCTGAGGCGTAAGAATCCTTCAATAAATTCAAAGTGACTTAAATGGTTGCAGCGAGTAAATGCCCGTAATGAGGCAGATATTTCTCGCACCCAGTGCCTGCCTGGGAGTGCATTAGGCACGTTGGGGCAGCCAATTAGCGAATCCTGCCTCAGAGCCTCTGCCCTTAACATCCCTTCGGACCCCAGAGAGCCTTATGT